GGGGGGTTGCGATCTGTGAAACTGCCGCAATGTTCGAGGCCTGCTGGGGGGGGCCAGCACAGTGAGGGCGACGCGCAGATTCAAATTAGACCTCGCCATCCCTGGGGGGCTGCGAGCTGTGAAGTTGTCGCCATTTTCGAGGCCTGCTGGGGGGGCCAGCACAGTGAGGGCGACGCGCAGATTCAAATTAGACCTCGCCCATCCCTGGGGGGCGGCGATTCTGTGAAACGTCGCTCACTTTCGAGGCCTGCTGGGGGGCCCAGCACAGTGATGCCACGGGCAGATTCAAATTAGACCTCGCCATCCCTGGGGGGGGCTGCGATCTGTGAAACTGTCGCCATGTTCGAGGCCTGCTGGGGGGCCCAGCACAGTGACGCCACGGGCAGATTCAAATTAGACCTCGCCACCCCTGGGGGGCTGCGATCTGTGAAACTGTCGCCACTTTCGAGGCCTGCTGGGGGTGCCCAGCACAGTGACGCCACGGGCATGATCCAAATTAGACCTCGCCATCCCTGGGGGGATGGAGGGGGCTGCGATCTGGAAACTGTCGCCACTTTCGAGGCCTGCTGGGGGGGGGGCAGCACAGTGACGCCACGGGCAGATTCAAATTAGACCTCGCCATCCCTGGGGGGGCTGCGGTTTGTGAAACTGTCGCCACTTTCGAAGCCTGCTGGGGGGGCCAGCACAGCGACGCCACGCGCGGACCCAAATTAGACCTCGCCATCCTTGGGGGGGCTGCGATATGTGAAACTGTCGCTGCGTTCGAAGCCTGCTGGGGGGCCCAGTACAGTGACGCCACGGGCGGACCCAAATTAGGCCTCGCCATCCCTGGGGGGCTGCGATCTGTGAAACTGTCGCTACTTTCGAGGCCTGCTGGGAGGCCCAGCACAGCGACGCCACGCGCGGACCCAAATTAGACCTCGCCATCCCTGGGGGGCTGCGACCTGTGAAACTGTCGCAACGTTCGAGGCCTGCTGGGGGGCCCAGCGCAGTGACGCCACGCGCGGACCCGAATTAGACCTCGCCATCCCTGGGAGGCTGCGATCTGTGAAACCATCGCCACTTTCGAGGCCTGCTGGGGGGGACCCGCACCGGGGGGACCCGCACAGTGACGCCACGGCAGATTCAAACGTAGGACATCGCCATCCCTGGGGGGGCTGCGGTCTGTCTGAAAACGTCGCACTTTCGAGGCCTGCTGGGGGGGGGGCCAGCAACAGTGACGCAACGGGCGGATTCAACATAGACCTAGCCAATCCATGGGGGGGCTGCGATCTGTGACAACTGTCGCCAGTTCGAGGCATGCGGGGGGGGGGGGGGGCAGCACAGTGACCGCACGCGCGGACCCAAATTAGACCTGGCCATCCTTGGGGGGGCTGCGATCTATGAAACTGTCGCCACGTTCGAGGCCTGCTGGGAGGCCCAGCACAGTGACGCCACGGACGGATTCAAATTAGACCTCGCCATCCCTGGGGGGCTGCGATCTGCGAAACCGTTGCCACTTTCGAGGCCTGCTGGGGGGCCCAGCACAGTAACGCCACGGGCGGACCCAAATTAAACCTAGCCGTCCCTGGGGGGCTGCGATCTGTGAAACTGTCACCACTTTCGAGGCCTGCGGGGGGGGGGGGGCAGCACAGTGACGCCACGCGCGGACCCAAATTAGACCTCGCCATCCCTGGGGGGCTGCGATATGTGAAACTGTCGCCATTTTCGAGGCCTGCTGGGGGGGGCAGCACAGTGACGCCACGCGCGGACCCAAAATTAAACCTCGCCATCCCTGGGGGGGGCTGCAATCTGATATCTCCGCTTTCGACATGGTTAGGGTTGCTCAGGGATTGTAACTAATCAGCTTTGTCGAGTCCTTGTCCTGTAGCCAATGTCCTGCGAGTCTCCCGAATTCCGTCTGCTGACCTATGTAACCGTGCTCCGTCATCGCCCCCCTTATAAAGTGTCCTAAACTATCTGCGCCCCGCGTTTGCGCAGGGGTTGGGTACGTCGCCAGGGTAATGATTAGTCTGGTTATTGTTATTATGATTATTATTAGTAGTAGAATTGGTAGTATCATTATTACTACTAGTATGATTAGTATTATGATTATGATGATGTGTATGATCATGATTCCTAGTATTAATAGTATTAATATTACTACGATGATTAATATGATTATTATTAGTAGTATTATTATTAGTATTATTATTAGTATTAGCAGTAGTATTCGTATTACTATTATAATTATTACTACGATTATTATTCCTCATGCTCCTCCTCCTCCGCCTCATCCGCCGCCTCCTCCTCCTCCGCATCCTCCTCCTCCCCATCATCAACATCATCATCATCATCATCATCATCATCATCATCATCATCATCATCATCATCATCATCATCATCATCATCATCATCATCATCATCATCATCATCATCATCATCATCATCATCATCATCATCATCATCATCATCATCTTCATCATCATAATCATCATCATCATCATCATCATCATCATCATCATCATCATCATCATCATCATCATCATCATCATCATCATCATCATCATCATCATCATCATCATCATCATCATCATCATCATCATCATCATCATCATCATCATCATCGTCATCGTCATCGTCATCGTCATCGTCATCGTCATCATCATCATCATCATCATCTTATCATCGTCATCATCATCATCATCATCAGCTAATCTATCATCATCATCATCATCTCATCATCATCATCATCATCATCAGCATCATCATTATCTATCAGCATCAGCACCATCGGCATCATCTCTCATCTCCTTCTTCATCTTCATCATCATCATCTGCATCATCATCATCCTCATTCTTCTCATCATCATCATCTTCATCCGCATCATCAGCATCATCAGTCATCATCATAAGCATCATCAGCATCAGCTGCTTCATCATTGTCAGCATCGTCATCTGCTTCACCTTTCTTCACTCTTCAGCTCACATCATCATCCGGTCTGCATCAACCATCACCATCCATCATCATCTTCATCATCATCATCATCATCATCATCATCATATCGTAACTTCAGCATCAGCTTTCAGATCTTCATCATATTCAGCTTCATCCTCATCATAATAATAAGCATAATCATGCATCATTTCAGCATCATCACAGCATCAGCATATCTATGGTCAGCTTCATATTCATTCTGCATCAGCTCATCCTTCTTCTATCATCAGCATCATCATCAGCATCATCTTCGTCAGCATCATCCTCATCATAGCGCAGCAG